CTGGCAGTGGTCAACTGGAACTTTGACATAGACAGGACACAGCCCACATACTGTAGGTTATGTATGGGCTGTATTGGCTACTATGGTATAGGCGAGCTGGCAGTGGTCAACTGGAACCTTGACATAGACAGGACACAGCCCACATACTGTAGGTTATGTATGGGCTGTATTGGCTACTATGGTATAGGCGAGCTGGCAGTGGTCAACTGGAACCTTGACATAGACAGGACACAGCCCACATACTGTAGGTTATGTATGGGCTGTATTGGCTACTATGGTATAGGCGAGCTGGCAGTGGTCAACTGGAACCTTGACATAGACAGGACACAGCCCACATACTGTAGGTTATGTATGGGCTGTATTGGCTACTATGGTATAGGCGAGCTGGCAGTGGTCAACTGGAACCTTGACATAGACAGGACACAGCCCACATACTGTAGGTTATGTATGGGCTGTATTGGCTACTATGGTATAGGCGAGCTGGCAGTGGTCAACTGGAACCTTGACATAGACAGGACACAGCCCACATACTGTAGGTTATGTATGGGCTGTATTGGCTACTATGGTGTAGGCGAGCTGGCAGTGGTCAACTGGACAAGTTTCGGCCTGCTGCCTTCCAACTGTAGTTTTTGCAATTATAATTTTGTCGACAAACAGAAATAACATTGCAATACTTCGTGAATGGCAATTGTGAGACATGCCAATCAAGTGGAGAAGCAATTCATATAGATTTAGGGGATGTATTGTGTTAGGCAAAACAGTAAATGTATTCGGTAAAAATAATGTAATTTTAAACACCCAAAAGGTTTCGTTCACCATTTTTCAGAAACCATGGAAGTTTCCAAATTAGCAGTCGTTATGGCGCTCTCTGTCTTGCACGCGCATGCCCAGTTGAGCCCCACGGCTGATGATGTCATCGACATGACGTACCTCGTGTCTCCAGATTCACTGTATTGGCCAGGACTGCCTGGGTTAAAGTTCACTAGGGTTTCAAGAGGGCCAGTTAATTTCGGATCTGGGTGGTGAGTTATCTACAACAGTTAAACGTTTCAGTGTACTTTTACATCTGGGGGGGTAGGGGGGGGGTGATTATTCTAAGTACCAGAATCTTGTTAATACTAGTAGAGGAACCATGCGTTAACGCATACATGTAATTGTTCCTCTTAGGACGCGAGAGCGACAACTTATAGTGTGCAACAGGGCCAAAATGACCAGGCTTCCTTTGAATTGTGAATTAAGTGAATATATGTATAACTTCAACCCTCGTGGTTGCAATATCTCAATTATTATTATTATTATTATTATTATTATTATTATTGTAACAGAAAACGTAATCAATAACTTCATAATGAAAACAACTGCATTGACAAAGTCCTCGATCATCATTCACTGCAAAGTATATGAATTCTAAAAATATTCATAAATATTAAACCCGTCGTGCAAAAAATTAACGGTGTACCAGTTATTTATATCATTTATATCATAAAATATTTTAAGGGGCACTCACGGCAAAGTAAGAAGTACGCATCATGTTTATGTATTAGTTCATAAAAAGCTATATTAATTTATCTCAGTTCCAGTTACCTGTATGTACCGTTTCTTCCGACCCTTATACCTAACCCCTGGAAATCATTCGATTTATTTAATGACAAGAAAACATTTGGGAAGTTTTATGCAGTAACTGTTGTTTCTTAATTGTACTGTAGGGAACTGCAATAGAAAAAGTTCGAAGTAAATCCTCAGTTTATCACATTTTTTCAGGTACGAAGACAATGATATTTGCGGACAAGAACACCAATGTACCCACATGGACGCGCCTGCGCATTACAGCAAAGGCAAGTGGCGAATACATCAGATTCCACCTCACAGGTTCTTTGGGCCTGCAGTTCGAATTGATATTTCTTCTCAAACAGCCCAGAATAATGAATACAACCTGAAAGTAGAGGACGTGCAAAAGTGGGAAAAAGAAAACGGTCCCATTCCTGACAACTCTATAGTGTTTATCTACACCGGTTGGGGAAAGCACCATGAGAATCGGACGGCGTACTATGGTTACGAGGGCACCGACAGCTGGTTGGACACCAATGGAAACCCGCTGCCGCATTTTCCCGCTCTTTCCGAAGATGCCGCCAAATGGATTTCCTCAAACAGAAGGATTTGGGGAGTGGCCACAGACGGGCCCTCAATAGGCCCCAGTAAAACTATGATGGCCCACGTTCCTCTCAACAAAAAGAACATTTTTATCCTCGAAAGCGTCGCAAATTTAGATAAGTTGGCAACAACGGGGGACACCGTCGCGGCACTGCCGCTTAATATCAAAGACGGTGGTGGTGCCCCCTTGCGGCTAATGGCATTCAAAAAAGCTCGGATCAGACCGGGAGCCGATGACGTCATAGACCTGTCCTACCCTCTGTCTAATGACACGGTTATGTGGCCAGGAAGGACACCTTTTCAGTTGTTTTTCCTTGTCCACGGATTAACCCTTATTGGTAACAATACAATATGGTGAGTAATGAAAATATACCTCCCTTTAGTGATCTTATATTACCTTTGAAAAAGTTGTAGAAATATTATTATAAAGACAAAAAATGTAGAAATATTATAAAGACAAAAAGGTATTCTTATCCCGTATTTCCATTAAAAGCATCTTGAAAATGAACGATACGAAGAAACAAATGGCTTGTAAATTTCGATAAGCACATTTGCAGTTTGTAATCAGCAAATTACTATTCCTACTAATCACAAATTAATCTCATATAATTGCACGAATACAAGTAATCTATATTCAGCTATAAGTGGCAGTGTGTCACTATATAGATATATTTATTTATTTTTCTAATCTGGTACAAATACATTCTTCACGATGGCTGTGACCTAGCCTTATTTGTGTAAACTAATGTACCAAAAACTGAAATACTAGTTTACAGACAGATATTTATAAAGGTTGTTTTAAAACATTATCACTATATATTCAGTTGATTTAGTTAGCTAGGTGGTGGTTGGTTAAAATATTTTCTTTTATTAGTATATATTGTTATATAATGAGCATTAATCTTTATGAAAATTCAGTTCTAGACTTGTCAGTAACAAGCATATTGATATTTTCAGGATTGAAACGAACAGCTTTTGTGGATCAGAGCATGCAGGGACACATCTTGACGCGCCTGCGCACTTCATTAAAGGTTCATGGCGAACCCATGATATCCCTGCGCACACCCTCATCGGTCCTGCCGTCAGAGTAGACATGAGCAAAAAAGCTGAAAATATTTCGGACGCTGTCCTCACTGTCCAGGACTTGGAAGACTGGGAGAAGGAAAATGGCCGAATACCTGACAACGCTATGGTATTTCTTCACACGGGCTGGGGGAAATTTGTCAACGATTTCGAAAAATACCTTGGCTCTAAGAACCGGTCACATCGCGTAAATGATAAGGGGGAGTCCCTTTTGAACTTCCCTGGCTTCTCAGGAGAGGCAGCAGAGTGGTTAGTGAACAACCGAAAATTCATCGGAGTGGGAATTGACACCGCCAGCATCGACGCGGGTCAAACGACGTCATTTCCAGCGCACGTGGCCTTTCTTGGCGCCAAGAAACTCGTGTTACAGAATGTGGCCAATCTTGACAAGTTGCCGAACACCGGAACGACGGCCTTTGTGTTTCACATGCTGCACAAGGACGGAAGTGGGGCCCCTACCAGAGTGGTTGCAATCAAAAACAGTGCCATCACTGCCGGTCAGGTTTCCAGCGGTGTTGACGCAAGGCCCAAACTGGCCGCCATGATGATGTTCATTGTCTTGATTTTGATCAGTTTCCCCTCATGTGCGACCTTCACCTGATTCGGGTGTTGTGACTTCTTTATGTCACTTTTAATAATTAGTTCTCTGTGCAAGATTAAAAGCAAGTGAATTCAATGCAATTCGTCCTGTTTATTCAAGAATTAAATACAAAGTTTATCAATAAAATTGTTACCCTCACGCTGTACACACTTGGGCACTTTCTAGGATATTAACGACAGTTTTCATGGGGGTTAGTTTCTTTATTTACTACAACCACGGTGGAGAAAAATAATTTTTGAAACAAAACGTCGTATTCTTTATTCGGTTGAAATAAAAGGATGTTAACACAACCTCAAAATGATTCGTGTATATTGATATTGTGATTTCGTATCAAAAATCCGAGGTTCTACTGGCTTAAAGATAACTCAGTTTTCACCACCATCACCCATGTATACATACTATAACCACCGCTTCCCGCACCACTCTCACACGTTCGTGTCAAACCATGACATCCCACCCTGTGATCGATAGCGTGTGTACACAAAAGATTGGCACTTCTTTATTAAGTAAACTATTGAATTGCCTTGGGAATCTTAGGACCCCGTTTCCATAGATTTTAGATCGATCTATCCCTGTGGGGAGTCTCACTAGATTACTGTCAGCTTAGCCGGCTTAAGCGTCTGTCCCGCGTACTGAAAGCTGTAAGGGGGTAATTAACTATGGTGCGCGTTCGGCTGACTGCAATTTATCGTGAACCCCCAGGGAGTTAAGTCGATCTAAATCTAAATATCTGGATCGATCTAAATCTCTGGGAATACACCCTAGTGTTTCTTACACAACTGACAGCGATATGAACGCTATTTGGCTGCCAGGGCCCCGTAACTCGAAAGCATCGCGCATTGCGATCGAGCGCAAGCGTCTCGATCCCATAACTCGCCCATACTCGCACCATATAATACATTGTAACCTCTGTGTAATATTGCTATTGAAAATGCGCGATGCTTTCGAGTTACGGGACCTGATTATTATCCTGATGACAAAGCGTTGCGGTCAACCGGTCTTTTCGTGGCGCCTATCTGTTATGCAATGTAGATTTGGCCATTCTATTCTTAACCCTTGTTTACACCTCTAAATACGGCACGGTTGGTCAGATAAAACCTGTTTTACCGCAACATATCGAGGACTTGTCTGCTTGACTTGACCTAGTTATTATATAATGACTGTAAAAAGACGTTGTTTATATCACAAATGCGAACTAGCCAATGCATTGTCGAGTGACAATACCGTGTGCGCACATGGATCGTTATGAGAATGGATCTGTCTGTCGCAAAATGGAAACGTGCCGTAACGCTGGGTGCGGCAGAAGAAGAAGTACTTATTTTAGCGGACCGCTTTCTCCAGAAGGGATACCCGAAGAGATTAGCCAACTTTCGCTAAGGTAAGATTGCATTTGCATATTTAAATGGCACACTTGTTATATCATTATATATATTGCTAAAATGAGGGCGTTTTCTTAAGACTTTAGGGACGCACGTTGACAAGGTAGGCATAAAATTATTCGTCCCCAAGTACAGAAGTCACATTAAGAGATCGTGGATTCACAATTGATAGAGTCTAATGTAACAGCAATATCAGACCAGAAGGACGTGCGGGTCGCATATATTTACTCACCGTGTATAAAGTGGAGGCATTTAACCTTCCTTATGAATTTTTGGAAACGGTAATTTTCAAACAAAATGCAAATTTCGCTTCAGTCGACTTGACAAATTGGCATTAAGTGAGATTTTTCTCTTAAAACCAAATATTCCTAGGTTGAAAAAAATGAAACACAGGCATATTTTAATGACGTTCGACTTTAAGCTTCATAGTACTATAGTATCTTTCCCAGTTTGGTGTTGGTTAATAGTAGAGTTTAGGTTACTAGAGTCACAACTACAGAAATAATACATATGTGATACTTCAAAATGTCCTTTAATTTTCATTATGTCAGATCACCCTTAGCCTCTCACCAAGAACAAAATAAGGTCAAGTCCGAAAATCAATCATGACATCACCCGTAAAATGACTTGTGTAAATGTTAATTAAGTCATTGAACACTGGAGATTTAGCTGTTATCCAAAAGAATGTATGTCAGGCAGTTAACAGAGTTTTTGGCAAAGGCTAACAATACCCTTAAGCTCTTTTTCGCTTAAGACCGAAGATTCTTCTATTGAAAAAATAAAACAAACACACAATAATGAAGTTTGACTTTAAACTTTATAAAAAAAACGCCAAAATGTTTTGTTCTTGACATCAGACCACCGTTGGCCTGTCACCATCGAGAACAAAATAGAGTTTAAATTATCAAAACAGTTTCATCATGTGCCGTCCGAGGTAATGGGATCATGACAAATCTCTGTTTTGTCTTCATTTTTCTTCTACATTGTGACAAGCAAACACTGTCACCGAGGCCTTGCGTGTATCCTGGTGTTTATCACGATGACTGGTGGTCAATATAAGCCCGACCATTTATCACTACTTTTATAGTAAAAAGTTTTGAGGGGACTTTGCATACGTAATAAGCCCTTTGAACCTAGGTGACTAGATGTTGACTTCTTTTGTTTACTGAATAGCTTTTCCCCGGCATTCTTTTGTTCACTAGACAGCAAGTTCTTCAGTAAACAAAATAAGTCAACACCTTGTCATCTAGCCGCAAAAGACCTACTACACTATCATAAGGCAAAGTGTAGATTAAATGTACAGGATAATTGTATTTTCAAACTTTAAAAAGTCGCCTTTCAACTCAATCGCAGTTTTTGATAACCTGCCATTACAGTTATTATCGGTTGGATAGGCAGACACCAGTGGTGGATTTAGATGGGGGTCGGGGGGGGGGGGGGGGGTCGGCTTTGCATCCGCAAACCCCCCTTTCAAATAACCCTGGATCCGCCCCTGTGTTGTAGTAGCGTTAGTATATATTCTATGGGTGAGGTTTGATGAACACATGAAGTAAACTTGGATAGGAAGACTACCATCCGCATATTACGTCATCTCTTATGGAATAACTGGAAAATTTGATAAAATCATACCGCTAGTACTACATTATCTTTTCTCACTTAATGCTGGGTAATGATATGGACTGCGAAGACAGGATGGGTGCATGAGCCTGAAGTTTAAAAAGCAAACAATTCGAGTTAGGCCTGCCTTTATATAACAAAAGAAAAAAATCCCTGAAAACTTAAACTACTGCACGCGTGTATTTATTTTCCCTTTATTAACAAAAACACATTCTGTCCTAATCTGTTAATGAAATTGCGATCTGTAAATCCGTGTTCCAGTACTGAATATTTAATGTTACCGACACGAAAATGACACACCATTCTGTAACACTATCTATGACAGGTCCTTAATTAGCCTACAGCTGTTACGAATTGGGCAAAGATGACAAATAGGATCTACCTGTAAAGAAGTCTCTGCCGAGAATAAATCAAATTTTAGGGGGTAAAACGGTCCAAGGTTGAAGAAGTAAGCTGTACGTTTAATAAATAGCAGTGTCCTCCTGACCGATGGCTAGCCTTACAGGTTAACTGTCAAATATTTTACATCTCACCTCTATATGAACAGATACTGATACACAGATGTGTGGGACTTTTTTCTGAAGGCAGAAGATTGAAAAATTAAAACAGACACACAATAACGAAGTTTGACTTAAAATCTTACAAGGAAAATGTGTTAATTTTTTTTACATTTTTTCATGACATCAGACCACCGTTTGCCTGTCACCAGCAAGTACAAAATAGAGTTTAATTTTTCAAAACAGTTTCATCATGTGCTGTCCGAGGTAAAGGGATCAAGACAAATGCTTGTTTTGTCTTCATTTTTCTTTTACACTGCGACATGCAAACACTGTCAACGAGGTCTTACGTGAACCCTGGTGTTTATCACGATGACTGGTGGTCAATATAAGTCCAACCCATATATATATATATATATATATATATATATATATATATATATATATATATATATATCACTACTTTTATTGTAAAAAAGTCTTGAGAGGGCTTTGCATACGTGACAGGCCTTCCGCAGCTTCATGTTGACTAGATGTTGACTTCTTTTGTTTGCTGAAGAGCGTGCTCTCATCTTGTCGGCTTGTAAGCTCTTAAGTAAGTAAAAGAAGTAAAGACTTATTTCCATGGGTCAAGTCAGCGAAAGCATGTTAAATGAAAAAAAATATAAACCTGCAGAATAAACTTTTATTTTCTACATTTCAGAAAATCATGGAAGTTTCCAAATTGGCAGTCGTTATGGCGCTCTTCGTCATGCACGCGTATGCCCAGTTGAGCCCCACGGCTGATGATGTCATCGACATGACGTACCTCCTGACCCCAGATACACTGCATTGGCCAGGACTAACAGGGTTTAACTACACTCGGATTTCAAGGGGACCGGTTAATATGGCTGCTGGGTGGTGGGTAATTTACAATATGTAACAATATGAATACTCTATGTGAGCCTTTTATTGATTTTGGCAATTTAAATAGATAAATCGTGGCTCTGGCTATGTTAATACGTAAATAAGGGATAATTCATTAAAAATGTGTATCAAGACACGATTATATATCTTCAAGCTAAGCAAGATAGAACTAGGCCAATTCTTTTCTCCAAATTGATTTTTTTTTTAGGTTTGAAGACAATGACTTTTGCGGACAAGAACATCAAGGCACCCACATGGACGCGCCTGCGCATTTCAGCAAAGGCAAATGGCGCTTGCATGACATCCCACCTCATAGGTTTTTTGGGCCTGCAGTTCGCATTGATATTTCTTCTCAGACAGCTCAGAATAATGAATATAACCTGCAAGTAGAGGACGTGCAAAAGTGGGAAAAAGAAAATGGACCCATTCTTGACAACGCTTTAGTGTTTATCTACACCGGTTGGGGAAAGCACCATGATAATCGCACGGCGTATTATGGGTACGGAAGCGCCGACAGCTGGTTAGATGCTAATGGAAATCCTCTCCTTCACTTTCCCGCTGTTTCCGAGGATGCCGCCAAATGGATTTCCTCGAACAAAAAAATAGCTGGAATAGGCACCGATGGACCCTCAGTAGGCCCCAGTAAAACTATGATGGCCCACGTTCCTCTCCTTGAAAAGAACATCTTCTCCCTCGAAAGTGTCGCAAACTTAGATAAGCTGGCAACCACCGGTGACGCTGTCGCAGCACTTCCAGTCAATGTCAAAGACGGCAGTGGCGCCCCCGTGCGAATTGTCGCATTCAAGAAAGCCCAGTTCAAGCCCGGACCCGATGACGTCATAGACTTGACCTACGCTCTGTCTAATGAGACGGTTATGTGGCCAGGAAGGAATCCTTTCCAGTTGTTTGTTCTTGACAGGGGGTTAGTGAATCTTGGTAACAACACCGTATGGTACGTAGCTAGTCCTAATATTGATATTGCCATTGGTACATGCACTTGTTCAAATTTTCATTTTGAAAATAAAATAATCATTGTTAAAGTGCAAAAATAACTATTAAAACACTTTAATCTTTTCACGTGTTCATTCGGACGCTTCTGAGCGCTTAACTTTACGAAGTTTTGTCATTTTTACCATGATATACCTGTATATCATTTATTAAAGAAAGATTGTCTCAGTTGTTAAAGATTAACACCAGTTTTGTAGTAACTTCATGCACTTAATCATGAATCAGAAATATAAAACCAATTTTATAGGTTGGAACAGAACAGATTCTGTACACCAGAGCATGCAGGGACGCATCTTGACGCGCCTGCGCACTTCATAAAAGGTTCATGGCGAACCCATGATATTCCTGCGCACACTCTCATCGGTCCCGCCGTCAGAGTGGACATATCCAAAAAAGCTGAAAATAACCCGGACGCTGTCCTTACCGTCCAGGACTTGGAAGACTGGGAGAAGGAGAATGGCCGAATACCCGACAACGCCATGGTGTTTCTTCACACTGGCTGGGGGAAATTTTTTACCGATTTCGAAAAATACCTTGGCTCTACAAACCGGACCAATTGGTTAAATGATGAAGGACAGCCACTCGTTCACTACCCAGGATTTTCAGAGGCAGCAGCGAAATGGTTGGTTAACAATCGAAATATCAACGGAATTGGCAGTGACACCATAAGTTACGACGCAGGGCAAACGACGTCATTTCCAGCGCACGTGGCCTTTCTTGGAGCCAAGAAGCTCGCGCTGGAGAATGTGGCCAATCTTGACAAGTTGCCGAACACCGGAACGACGGCCTTTGTTTTTCACATGCTGTACAAGGACGGAAGTGGGGCCCCTACCAGAGTAGTTGCCATCAAAAACAGCGCCATCACTGCCGGTCAGGTTTCCAGCGGTGTTGACACAAGGTCCATGTTTGTTGCTCTGATGATGCCTTTTTTCTTGATTTTCTTTAGGTGCATCTAATGCTTGAAATATACCTGATCCTGATGTAAAATATTTTAAACGAAAAGGTTACGCAGTAGCATCTATTGTGAAAATTAATATAGTTCAATTAAATCCTTTCTATTCATAGAAGATTTAAATTCAAACGCCTGACTCTTTATTTGTTTGAAATAAAAACTTTCCAACACGACCTCAGAATGATTAATTTATCCCCATGTTGTGGTTTCATAAACATAGCTTTATCCGGTCAAAACCATAAGCAATGTGTCTCTAACTACCGATTCCTGCGTTTGTTTTTCAAGTGACCAAACCAGGGCATTATATGTCACGCTATGATCGATAGTAAATATATGCAATGCAGCAAATATACCTTCTAAATAAAAGAGACTCCACTGCCTTGAAATCCCTTGATCGGTGTGTTTCGTTCCAATGAACGCTACGATATTCATTCTTTAAAGGCAAACTTGTTGGCCAAATGACCATTTCTTGCGTTTGTTTGTACAATCTAATGTTGGAAACCTATATTTGTCATCTCATTAAAATAGCCGTGTTAACACCCCTAGAGACGGTGCGATCAGATAAAAACAGAATCGAACCATTTTAAAGCAACAAATCGATGACTTAGCTCTCTGAACAAATTGGAAACAAAAACGGGGTGCTAACTGNTGTGTAAAATTTTGTATAAAATTGTGTATAATAAAATGGTTTTACTCACAGATGCTACTTTCATGAGTATAGAGTATAGAGTGCTTGAGTATAGAGTTAACTTAAAAGATATTTTAAGTTAATATAGTAAATAATAGTTTGAAATTCAATATTCTCATCTTTATTTGTTTCACTTTGAAGAGCTCAGTGAATACTAAAATTTCTGATATATTTTGTACATAAATATATTTATGAATGAATAAAAATTCTTAATGTATAGCACTGTGCACTTGTTTACCGACAAATATGAACAGTATTAGTACGTGTCAAATAATCCTGAAAAAAAGGGAAATTTCCAAGATAAAGAAATTGATAACGAGTATTCAGTAAACTGACGTGTCGTGGCATTGCCTCAACCTTGGATTAAAATTTTAATTAAATGCATTATAATATTAAAATTATACCGAGTGAGAGAAAAAATACTTTAAGAAATTTAAAACCAGACACAAAGCGTAGGCACTGTCACAATGTGTTTCTTTTGACTTCTCCTTGGGTGATTTTTCACCGGGTTGTGCCATAAANGATGTTGTAGACAGTGTTTAACTGATAAGAAGATAACTTTCCCACCTCACATAAGCCGATGATTGACGCTTTTAGGAGTTTGGCTCGGATCATTAAGGCCTCAAATCTTGTACCATTTTCCGCACTGATGCTTCTGATGTTTGAAAACAAAAAATTGACTTCCTCAACCCGATTTTGCAGACGTTTATGTGGGCCTGGATTTGGGTGGATATCGCCTGAAATTAGGAGCAATAGACATAAATTAGTTTTATAGGGCAGACCAGGAGTTATTGGTAAGATAAACAGAGAGGATGGAAAAAAGGTACCGGTAAGAAAAGACATACTTTTGGCCAATCTATTGTTTAGCACATTATTTCGATTGTATATATTGAGATAATTTGTACTGTTATTAAAAGTAGCAGACACTAAAATTGTTTCCACTTTCCAAGACTGAGAGTCACCGGGGCTTGGGTAGACTTCCCGTGAAATTAAGAGCAGTAGAAGTATAATAGTCACCAGAGGTAACCAGCAGCAAGTTACGGGTGTTGGAGATAAAGAAGATAATGAAAATAAGGATATAACGTAATTTGGCTCCGTTTTGCATTTTGCTATACTAGTAGAAATTTGACTATTAGAATAAATCGAGTTAACATGTCTACTAGGCATACTGCCGACTATGTCAGTTGTGATCAGTTGAGAATGATTCAAAACACTTCCTCCTAACTCACAATAAAGATCGCAATTATAATACTTTCGAGAAGTTGAACCTTCATGTGTTACATATATGTACACTATGAACATCAATATGCCATCTCTCAAACCAGTGATACTCGGTTTGATCTTAAGCAACCACAGATTTCAACCACAGGGTTGGGGTTCAGTAGCCACGCCCATATCTTCCCTTGACCCCTGCGAGTCTCCCACACTCAAAATGTATGGTTCATTGATACGTTTATCATTGCTGTTCGCATTAATTATTTTTTTTAATAAATAAATTTTGGGTAGAAAATCCCACACTTTAAAACCTAGAACGATTTCTTTTAAAACATCCTCTCCCCACCCATTTTTCCGTCACACAATGTGTCCTGCGTGACTACCCGATGACACAAATACACTAGAGGGGATATAGGCCCTACATCCTTGAGTGAACATCTTTGTTGGAAGCTAGGGGCACATTCAGAGCAAGTTGATCCGCGGAATACCACATCCGCGGATCAAACATGGTTAACCCACCTGAAAGCTTACCGCGTGATCCCCGCGAGGAATCTTATCTATTCAGTATCTATTAAGGAATTATACGGCAAGCTTTGAAGTGCATCGGCCATATTTGATTCGCAAACCTGTTAGCCCCCTGACCAACTTGATCTGAACACATCCTTATAAGTCGCATAGCTATAGCCAATTAAAGTTCATAACACCGGTGCATATATACAAGTAGGAAAGGGTCGTAGTCCCCTAAAAAGGTGTCACGTAATAAGCACAACCAGGGCGTTCGTTTTCCATAGCGAGGGGTTGAAGATGATACATGTACTAGCAAAAAAGACAGTGGCGAGTCATTTCAAGTAGGTACACGTAACAAATTAGCTCACTAAGACTTCTTTACTGCACCTTTATTCAGTGTTTATTTGGCATTCCTCTTATTTTCCTATATTATTCAACAAGCTGTGATCCTGTATCACTCAAAACTGCAGATACTTGTGACTGAGATCAAATGGCAGTATTTGCAGCACTGTCTTCTTGATTTCTCCTAGCAATCCCATACGTGAGGATATCGTTTTCTTGGCATTTCATAATAATGTCATTCTTTATATGAGAAATGTTGGTTTCTCGTGATAAGAAAAAACATGGAAATCCACAAATGATGGGAGAAGCTCAAATATTTCCAATCACCCCTCGTAAGTCACGTTTTGACAAGTAGGGGCCTATATCCTGCTAGATGCTCTGGCCTCGTCAACACTTCTGAGTTTAATTATCGGAATCAAGTGTCGACATTTGATTTTTGATACTCGAATAACGACATAAAGTATAATGTTTTAAAGACGAAACAAATTATTGAAGATTTTAGGAAAAAAACAACATCAAGATCATTGTCATTATTGCCTTTCCAATAAATCAGCTTTTTTAAAAATCTAGTATAGTGTTTGCTTAGATAAAACGGGGGTAGATTAGGGCATGAGAGGGGTAGAGAAGAAAGATTAATGTATAACTACAATTATATACTTAAAATTACAACCAAAAGGTCAAAGTTTTACATTCATAGTGAAAATGCAATCGAATATTGAAATATGTGACAGTACATTAAAATGTTAACACACACACACACACACACACACTAAAGTTTAATTTCTAGTCTTCTGCGTCTTCATATAGAATATTGAAATGATAGCGGGGTTAGGTCACCTATTTGACTGACTGCATTGTTGACTACACCATTGAGCTCTGGGTGAACAATAAGTATCTGGAGTTATTTGTTCGGCTCAAGTCAGGTAGAAAGGCTGGCATAGCAAAGGTCTCGTTCCCACTGAAACAATCGTAGCCGGGGGTGGGAGGGGGGTGGCTCGAACGTACCGCCCTTTTGGCCAGGAAAATTTATATATGTCCTTTTTCAACTTGTGTCAGTTAAGGGGGTTCGTTGCCCATTTGAAAGTTAACAGGGTAAGGTTACTGGTAAAAGCAACTGGCTAGTTTATAACTTCATGTACGACTCAATATCTATATTGTCCAATATGGATACTGAGTCCTAGTTTATGACAAACAAAGCCTAGGCAGCTTTTCCCTCGCGGTTGTGTTGTTGATCGCTATCTCCAAGAGGTGTTAACGGAAGTGCTTTGACCCCTCAACATCACGCGCTCTGGTTCATAGCGTTGGCGATCTACCCCCTCCACACCTCTCTCTCTTAGGCTCTATTCACACAGATTTTAGATCGATCTATCCCCGCGGGGAGTCTCACTAGATTACTTTCAGATAATCCGACTTAAATCTCCGTCCCGCCTACTACAAGCTGTAAGGGGGTAATTAACTTTCGTGTCCGCCCGGCTGACAGCTATTTAGCGTGAACCCCCAGGGAGTTAGGTCGATCTAAAGTAGGTCGATCTAATCTATGGAAATGGGGTGTAAGGCCGCATACAGAACAGCGGACTAACAGACCCACGGATCAAATATGGCCGACCCACTTGAAAGCTTGTTGCGCGATCCCCGCGTGGAATCTATTCAATGCCTGATAGGGAGCTATTTTCCTTGATGTACAACGAGTTGCTCTATTCTACATCTCCTCATTACATGCCCTACACAACTCGGCATAGGCCTACATGTGTACATTCTCGGAGAAGTTATGTGATAGTGCCGGTATGAGCTTTATTCGGTTTCGGGGTATTTTATCCCCCCGTGAAAATCCACTTGCTCCTTACACTCAAGGAAGTCACAAACTATCTCATCGACTTTTTATAAATGAAAGGTTAAAGGTACATACGAACCGAGCATCGCTGGAGCGTGGATTCCTAGTAACACATGTAAACCACTTCTACTAGATTCTTATATGACTCAAATAAATTGGACATGCCAAGGGATAAACTGAATAGATCACTCAATCAGCCATAAAAGACCTTTAGACTGCTCCTTTCTTTAAATTTTTGGTTGTAAATTTGACCTACTTTCCTGAGCCATTGACATACAGCTTAGAATGCCAGCAGAAAAATCCGTTCAAACATCATTTTCGGGTAAAATTAAACAATGCCTTTTGGTAATTCTCTTAGTTATACTACTTGAAACTATATGCTGGCATTTGGTTGGTTTTTGTGAAAAAAATTGACTTTGTATGCATCTTTAATGGTGGATTACTGAAGTAAAAACGTGTCTGCAATATTTATACCACGTGTTTGCGGTAACCGCGAAGAAATGTAGGCCTACTCCTCGCCAAACCACTAACTGCATTGGTGCATACGTCGGTGAAGACAGTTTATAAAATTACTCGTCGTCATGATAATTACTGTTGACATATGCTACAATTTACATAAATTGCGATAAGAAGTTTGCGATAAGGCAACTGGGATGCGGGATGCGAGCTGGTTTATTATTCACCGAATATCTGGCCCATACCTCCGTCGATGTGCATATAGATATACACTGTGCCTCCAAATGGTTTATTTTAAGCATATGTTCACGCCCTATTGACAGTTATATAAATGATATAATAATATATGCACGTGTATACTGCATTTAAGTGAAAACTCAAGCTGGTGGTTCTTAAATAGTGGATAATGTGATTTGCATATGTTTTCTGATAAAACTTGAACTTATCGTCGTGCGTAACGGGGCGACGGATAAAGCAATTAAAGGGACGGCAACTCTTCATTTTGGCAGAAAAAGTGCCATAAAACGGAATTTTCTGGGGTAAACGACAATTTCTCCAAACTTTCTCATGGTTTATGAATCCGTTCCAACATTCAAAGTAAGTCGATTGTTTTCTTAAAAAGTGTGGTTTTTGTAATAATTACTTAAGAGATGGTAGCCATTTATGAAGGTCCACGTGGTCCGATGGCAAGCACAGATTTTATAATAACTGCGATAACCGCTGTATTGGTGGTAAAATGGAATTTATTGTATTTCTTTATGTTGTTTACGATGTATTTATTGTGGAATTTTGAATGACATTTGAAGAGTTGCTATCTCTTTAAGGAGCTTGCAGTTTGCGGTGAGTGCACCACGTAAATTTAGATAACACTGTTCACAAGACTACCGGCGTACACTATAGAGATGAAGCATCGGTGTGGCGTTAAACATCAACACTACCGTTCTGCTGTAGAAAAGCAAGCGAGGCCTTTGGATCCACAAAAGCTTAATGCCGCTAATCTAATCTTTCATATTGAACGGACGCACAGGTAAACGGAAGCAATTGCTAAGCAATATTCCACATGTTATTTTCAGGTAGCGCTTTGCAGTCAGGCGGGAGACAGAGCACTGGTTTATATACTACAAGGGAAATCTTGGGAATCGAATTCTACCAGTACAACCAGGTAAGGATATGCCTTGTGACTTAATAACCGAAATACGTAGAACTAATTGGGTTTATGTATCCTGTCATTTAACATAAGCACATACCAAATGTACCAAATGTACCAAATGTACCAAACAACCATGGGTTAGTAATTGCCTTGGGTGAGTGGAATCCTTTCATGCCCAAACTGAACAGATTTTTCAACATTCAGGACTGTTACCAGCAACTGTCAAAGTAACTTAGCTGAACGGAACCAGTTTGAAAGATAATAACAAAGAACCTAGATGAAACTTGGATTCATAGTTGACCTCGTGCGTCGACATTGGCGGTTAATTATGACGCCTCCCGCCACCTCCCCCAGCCTACGGGGCTTTTTGGCACAAAGAGCAGTTGAACCGTTGTCTTATTGTCACACGGCGAGAAAATTATGTGTAGATGAATATATAAACATTATTTTTCCCAGCCTTCATGTACATAGTTTATTTTTAGTTAATGTGTGTACTCAGTATGTACATATGTCATTTCGATTTAGTCGTAGATGCCGAAGATTTTTTTTTTTTGGGGGGGGGGGGGGGCGTGTGTAGAATATAGATAATGTAAGATAAATATAACTCGAATTTAAAAAAAAACGTTATTAATAGTCATTATTTAACCTGGGTGTCTTGTCATATGTGCTTTTATAGTTGCTACTTTTATCGGTGGATAAATTAAATGCCAAACAGGACTACGTGCGGACAATCCTTGGCACGTATCTATAGTCCACAATTGGGGTAATTTTTGTGGTGAATGGTTTGTCAGATAGGAAGATAAACTGAAAACTCTTCAACATATCTCTTCGATTTCGCAATGTATACCAATGACTAAGGACGACATAAGTGGAAGACCAAGATAACAGAGCTTGGTCATAGTAGATAACCTGACTTATCACTTTGACCTGGTCTCTGCCCTACTATAGGCTACAATCAATGGACGGTTTAAATTAACGCACAGCAGATATGTCTCTGATCACTATAAACGGTAGCGGATTTAGGGGGGGGGGGGGGT